CGGGATTTGGCACGAGGGACATGCGCAGTCACAAAAGTTGCAGCCACTTGGATATGAAACTGGAAGCCCTTCTCCTGATCTCTTCCCCTATGGCTTTCCTACTAAGATTCCGCTCACGATCCGTCTCCAGTTTCTGTCGTTTCTTCGCTGATGTGGCGCATGTCCGAGATTTGGTTGCTCCTTCGTCGCCCACAACCGGGATACAGGAAAAATAAGAAATTACACAAAGTTGTTTTAAAACGTAAATTAGAATCAAAAGTTCATATGTATACCCCTTTAAATACTGACTTCTGCTTTAAAATGTGATGTTTTCACCCTGCGGTCATTTTCCCGACCATCTTTAAAGCATGGCTTCATGTAATTTTACACATCCATATTGGCTTGTGTCCACTGTATTGGCAGAAAAAAAATCTTGATTAACAAATTAAATACAAAAACAGAGAGATCAATCAACATTCAATGACGGTCAACATTAGACATAGTATAGTAGATTTCGTTTGTTCGTGTAGAATACTTTTGTTTTTGGTCTTGGAAGCTCGAGTTACTTCCCTTGAATCGTGATATGAATAATGATTCAAGGGACGTAACTCGTGTTTAAAGCACGAAGAAGATTACTACAGTTTAAACAGTTTTCATAAATGAAAAAAAGACTTTACAATCATTTTTGCCATTTTCATGAAACGAGGGAAACTCTTTCGTGCGCGAAATCCCCGTAAGCGACGCTCACATCGGTAACAAGTTTGATACATTCCGTCAACATAACATTTATCATTTCAACTGAGAAAAATTATACCGAAAGTGGGAATGCTTGAAGCAAAGATGTGCCGCACTATCCGAGGCTAATGTTAATCAAACCTACTATTACAGTATTGTTTTGCTTTCTTGAACATCCAAATCAAAGAAGAAATATATGGAGGACGAAATCAGAAAAATGAAAAATGATCGAGCTTTTGGTTGACAATAATCTTGTCGAGGTTGGTGGTCTTGCCTTAACTAAAAAATTGTTGACCACGTCCATCGTATAAACTGGCATAAATTGGACAGACTCTTCTACATTAATTGCTTATCTAGATTTTTCCGTACAACCATGAACAGCTTTCCAACAAGCTGCATGATAAGCGTGATGATTTCAATCTCCCTACTGTAAATTTTCCATTTCTTGATAGAAACAATCCTCCATCTCCAGCCTGTGGTGTTAACATGTTACAGTTGGTTCGATATTCAAGGGTTAGGTCCCGTTATCACGACTTCCGTCATTCGACAGACAAACTCGTAACAGAAGGGTTCAAAAGGGGCAGGAAGATGAAAAAAAATTATGGGGAAGTTTTGCAGTCGTCATAGTGATGTCATTGAGAAATATTCTATTTCTGCGTGAGATATGTAGCTGTATGTGTTTTGTACTCGTCAGTTTGCTTGTTGGTTCCGTTGTTGTTTACCGTGTTCTCATTTGAGAACGTGACATTACTTACTTGGATTGACAAAGATTTACATGTCGTCGTTGAAGAAAAGGACACTCACTCCTCCGAAAACAAGCTTATTCTCTTTGTACTTCAGTTCCGGGGGTCTCCGTGTAGTCATTTTCCTTTCGTTCATTTTTATCCAAACTTTATTGAATTTGAGTTTGGATTATGACTGTGTGCTGACATGTTGGTTATGCCTTGTGTTGTTTTAAACATGGCATCAAAACATATACACAAGCACACAAAAGGTCAACGTCACAATAAATACACAAATGACAGTTCGCTGTAGTGCGCCACATTTTCTTTATCTTGAAATTCTTTTTTAACCGGAATTGTTTGATGGTTTATTTTCTTGATACTTTTATCCGAGAATGTCATTATGGCCTGTAATTTTTGCTCTTTCCTTGCAATGTCTGAGTCAAACTACATCTTAATAACGTAGTGTTGCTTTGATGTTAAAGAAGAAACTAAACATGGACGTACATGTAATTTTATAAATTTATTGTTGCCGCCATGTTTGTTTATGTTGACGGCAGTTTGTTGAGCGCCCCCTTACAGTTAAACTTTCTTTGGGAAAAAAAGGTTCAAGAGAGGTTTATGTATAACGAATAGGCCACGTTAGGCTTGGTGACCTATGCTATACATGTAGTCGGTTCATCCATCTTGGTCATTTTTTTTTTACCAAAACGACGCTGATTGGTTAACTCCAACCACCAATCGTTGGCTGAGAAACATAAATTGTAATTTTTTAACGAACGCTCTCAGATGGCATTTTGGGATGAAATTTTCAACAGTAGATATAAATTTTCGACAATCAAAATTACTGGATTGATAGCTCTGACCTCTCATTATAGCAATGCAGTCTAACGTCAAGCGATGACGTCATACTTTAGAGTCCGCCAAACAGTCAACAATCGGGAAATATTATCTCAGAATTTCACAGAATAATCGTGTATTCGAAGAGCGTACATGAATAAAACAATAGTTAATGTGTTTTTTAACATTAAGACTGATTTAGGCGTGCTCCGTTTACGATATAAGGTCTTAAATAGTGTCTAAATCTTTGTAGACAGATCTCGCCATTTTAAACAACATGGTCCCTGGCATTAGAAAATTTGTCGGAAATTGCCATGAGAACCATCCCCTTAACGTTAGGCCCATCTCTTGTGAATATAATCTATATAGTGATAGATAGTAAATTCGCAACACAAATATTTTCACAAGCTCATTTAAATATGACCGAAAGCACAATTTGTCATGTTTTAACCAAAAAAGACACGCAAAAAGCAAAAGTCCAGAATTTTCAGAACCTAAAGACATGCTGTAAAATACACCATGCAAAATATGGCTGAAATCTATAGAAGGAAAGTCTAAGTCTTTAGGCCTATGTTCACTTCCTTTTTCCAATTATCCCCTCTTCTGAAATTCTGAGAAGCTGAAGACATGACGTAAATAAGTTGTACCATATACGGTTTAAACTCAAAAAAGATTTATCTAAGGAAAGTTGAAGTCCAGGAAACCACTTCTTGTTTATAACCGTCTCTTCACGTACTGCACGCTCTTATTGAAAATAATGTCTTATTTCCCTTAATATCCTTATTTTTCTTCAACATTTCCAATTATTGATGAAGACACAAACCAGTTCTAGATTGTCTGAGATATATGAAGCCTGCTTATTGTTTAATTTCTTAACATTTTGTTTTCCAATTTTACTGTGGAACGTATACACACAGTAAGATTCTATCACATTATCACTTTCAGCAAATTACCGTATTCATGAATGAAAAACATACAGAATATCGCTAATTGCATATTCTGCAGCATATTTAAGCGTTAAAATATGTTTATCACGAAAATCTATATGGTTGCAGTATGCAGTTTTGTATGTTACTTTAACCCGTTTTCATGGGAAATACAGTACGATATTCTGAAATGATTAAGTATGTATTGTTATGTAATCATAACGAAACTGTAAATCTTTCTTCTGACGTTCTACGTCATATATATATATATATATAACATGTGCGTACGTTTGTAAAAATGTCAAGTGAAAACAGCTGACAGAATAACATACGGTTTGTCAGTCAAACATTACCGAAAATAAATTTGCATCGAAATTACAAATTAATCTTCAGTATTATGATAATTAATACAAGCTCTGACCCTTCATTCATTTTATACACTTGTAAATGGTAGACTTGACACGACACATTGACAAATGTCGTAATATAGAGCCCGGAACGTTGTAATAGCAAGAACTCGAATATAGAAGATTTATACCTTGGTTGTTTCAATTTCGTGACCTTAAATGTCTCATCTGAAATGTCATAGGAAACCATTGTTAGGTAATGAAAGTTTGACCATAAATCAACTTTACGGAAATAGAATAATTTAAATCATAATTTGAATTCATTAATGTAAGTATCTCCTTAATTGGAGACAGATATGGCTGCGGGGTTTTACATTTATTCGTTTAAACCGCTATAAAAAGTATGTTTTTTATAATTCAAATTACTTTATTTTCAGATTAAATTGAATGGGATTATATTATTTTAAAAAGGTTGAATAATTTTAAAGTTATATTAACAGTTACGGAGAAAACCTGTATCTATTCGACCTGTTTGATAAATCTGTGCCTTTGTCAGTTTGATTAATCTATATACCGGGATACTTTCGCTTTTGTACCATTACACACGAATTTGCCTCATGTTCATTTCGCTCCCTGGGGATGATATCAGAGGGTTATTTAAGTGAGACAAAGTTTCGTCCCCATCTTAAACTCACTCTTCCTGTTTAAGGACGGAAAGGGCAAAATCAAACGAGGTCGAACATTTCCCGATGTGCAGTTTCCAATATATGGAAAAGGTGTAAACCCAAATGTCACTATTAAGTCCTTTGAAAAGATAGGTCGGTTGATCGATGTGTTCTTATTCAAAAAGTAAGGATTGATTTTTTTTTTCTGCGTAAAAGAAAAAAAAATGTGGTGTTTTGACGGTCCCTATCTTTCTCGTTCTTTGTATATTTGTGGTGTATTGACGGTCTCTGTCTTTCTAGATATTTGTATATTTGTGGTAATTTGACGGTCCGTATCTTTCTCGTTCTTGGTGTATTTGCAGTCTAGTGATGGTTTAAACTAACTGGTTCTTTGTGCAACAGAAGGATGTCTACAAATCCTACTAATATAGACGGAGTCCTAGGGCGATACAAAATATTGGTCAATACTAGTTACGTAGCGCGCTGTTGATTTTCATTACTACATATCATGGATGATATATCGTATTTCTAGAAAAAATGATAATATATCATCGAACTCAGCTGATGACGTTCTGGGCAGAAACGGCATTAGGCACAGATGATATTTTTAGTTAGAGACGTCATCGAAACCAGCTGATGACGTACTGGACTGAAACGTCATCAATTGCAGCTGTTTACGTTCTGGAGATAAACGTCACCGAGATCAGCGTATTAAAAACCTATGTATTCCTACACTATAAAATGTAAAAATAACAAAGGGAGATAACTATATTTTTGTCAGTGACATTTGTTTTATTCAACAACAGCAACATCAGTTCTCTTAGGATGATGGGTAAATTAATGGTTTGTCAAATATCATTACTATTAGCATTTTTAAAAAATGATTTAGATAAATATTTTCTTGCAGCGTAACGATATATCAACCAAAATTTAGCATCGCCCGTTAAGACCATCATATTCTCACCCAGTTCCGTGCTTTAAAGTAAATAAAACACCGAAGGTGGGGATGATAGCCACGCATGATGTTGATGTTATCGTTGGGACTGATAAACAGCAACACCATGAATAATACTTGATAAATTAATGCGTTGTCATTGAAAAAAACTAAGGTATCGATCCTGGAGGTGGCAGTCAGATGTTAATAAATAAATTTGTGTTGGTAATCAGATAATTCATGTAAGGAAACTTGGATTTTCACAACTACACGGAAACACGTACGTTAACATACGTTTTAATAAAATAAAACAAGAAAACGTATATTGATGAATTACTTATATAGATTCTTAAAAGAGACTTTGACGGATGGACAGCCCCTGATCTCTGGCACTGTTGTTACATACGGCACATACCGATTTCTGGAATCGTTAGATAATGTTGTGAATAATGATGTCCAAAATTCTGTTTTAAAAATATCTATATTAAAAATCATACATATTCATACCATTACATTTAATTATTTCGCGGTAAGTTGTGAAAGATACCTTGGAGGATATGATGTCTCCATTCCGAGAAATTTCTGTCTTAGTATTGATTGTCTTTCTTCACACATCACGCGAACACACCGATAAAAGTTCTCCATGTATTCAAATCTAACCCAATGTCAAGTTTTGCTAGAATTGATTTATGCGTCCTCTTCTGAAGAACTTGAGTCTGAGGAATCATCGGCGTCACCACCAGAGGAACTAGATGAGTCGCTGTCAGAATCAGAAGAATCATCATCCTCGTCAGAGGAATCATCAGAGGAATCATCGGCGTCGCTACCGTCAGAGGAGTCAGAGCCAGAGTCGGAGTCGGAGTCAGAGTCAGAGTCAGAAGAGCTGGAATCACCATCACCACCATTACCTCCTTTGCCGCCAGCACCAGATTCATCAGAATCGGACTCGCCATCAGCATCTGAATCATCGGAGTCATCGGAGTCATCAGAATCGTCATCATCATCATCATCGGAATCAGCATCATCACCTGAATCGGAGCCAGAATCAGAACCATCACCGTCATCGGAAGATGAGCCGTCGGAGTCGGACTCTCCATTAGAGCCGGAGTTATCGGAATCATCGGAATCATTAGAATCATCATCATCGTCGTCAGCGGAGTCAGCATCATCTCCTGAATCAGAACCTTCATCAGAACCATCATCTGAACCGTCTTCATTATCACTTGAATCAGAGGAAGAATCAGAATCGGAGCCGGAATCGGAGCCGGAATCGGAGCCGGAATCGGAATCGGAACCATCATCACCGTCACCAGAATCGGAACCAGAATCGGAACCAGAATCGGAGTCGGAGTCAGAATCAGAAGAGCTGGAACTACCATCAGCATCACCTCCATCACCTCCGTTGCCGCCAGCACCAGATTCATCGGAATCGGACTCGCCATCAACATCAGATTCATCGGAGTCATCGGAGTCATCAGAATCATCATCATCAGCATCATCGGAATCAGCATCATCACCTGAATCGGAACCGGAATCAGAACCATCACCGTCATCGGAAGATGAGCCGTCGGAGTCGGACTCTCCATTAGAGCCGGAGTTATCGGAATCATCGGAATCATTAGAATCATCATCATCATCATCATCGGAGTCAGCATCATCACCTGAATCAGAACCTTCATCAGAACCATCATCTGAACCGTCTTCATCATCACTTGAAGAATCGGAATCGGAATCGGAATCGGAGCCGGAATCGGAATCGGAATCGGAATCATCATCACCGTCACCAGAATCGGAACCAGAATCAGATCCAGAATCGGAGTCGGAGTCAGAATCAGAAGAGCTGGAATCACCATCACCACCATTACCGCCAGCACCGGCAGCACCAGATTCATCGGAATCGGATTCATCAGCATCATCTTGTGAATCATCGGAGTCATCGGAGTCATCAGAATCGTCATCATCATCATCATCGGAATCAGCATCATCACCTGAATCGGAACCGGAATCAGAACCATCACCGTCATCGGAAGATGAGCCGTCGGAGTCGGACTCTCCATTAGAGCCGGAGTTATCGGAATCATCGGAATCATTAGAATCATCATCATCATCATCATCGGAGTCAGCATCATCTCCTGAATCAGAACCATCATCAGAACCATCATCTGAACCGTCTTCATCATCACTTGAATCAGAGGAAGAATCAGAATCAGAGCCAGAATCTGAGGAGTCATCTGATGAGCCAGAATCTGAGGAGTCATCATCATCACCATCTGAGGAGTCTGATGAGTCTGATGAGTCTGATGAGTCATCATCAGAGTCGCTTGAATCACCAGAATCGCTTGAATCATCGTCTTCTTCATCAGAGTCGCTATCAGAGCTATCTGAATCTGCATCACCATCACCTCCATTTCCACCGTCTTTACCAGCACCAGCGTCCGCATCTCCGCCGTGACCGCCGTCACCACCTCCAGATTTTGAGCTCTTCTCAGCTGCTTCCGGTGCTGCCTCCTCGGCTCCAGCATCAGCAGGGCCGCCTCCGGCGCCAGTATCGGCAGCTGCATTGAGCAGCTTATTCAGATGTGATTCCAAATCTAAATCTGTGTCTTTATCTGTATCCAATGGTGCTGTAATGACAAAATAAAAACGAATTGAAACAATATAAACCTAAATATAATATTAATTAACAATTCTCAGCTTATCATCAATGCTTAGTAACCCCTGAAAAGTATGGATATGTTTAATTAATGTATATTAAAAAATACTGTGTGTAAATAAAAACATGTTTTATTGATTTTCTGTCAGCTGTTATATGTTATTCAAAAGTATTACGTAAGTTTATGTCAGCGAGGAATTTATTTCGTCTACAAGTATAAAATTTCGAAATGTCAGACTGGGGATATTAATTTTTATTTGACAGAATGACATGCTGAGGAAATCATTATTGTTTTCCTCGTTTTTTTCTTAATTGACATGAAATAGTTTTTCATGTATAAATGAAGGTAGGCAGATAAAAGCTTTTCAGTGTACGAACTCCATAAGTAGAGTAGAGAGTATTAGGACAGAGACGTATTGTCTCAGACTACAAACAACTAATGTAAAAATGTCATCGGCTGACTTGTTTAAGGTATCATTTTTTTTGTTAATGTTTTTCATGTTATTTTAATTTTTCACTCACTACTGTTATAAGTAAACTATTTTTTTTACGTAAATGATAGTATACTGTTTTTCTTATTACTTTTACTATTAAAAGGTTGGGATAAAACTTAAAAAGAAAACCTTTATAAACAAAACATGTTGTATTTTCGATTATTCTTATATTTAAATTAAACTTGAATACAAATCATTGTTTAAAGATTTACAAAAATATCATGGCGGACCATCACTAATATACGGACGATTAATCTCCCATTAATGTACTGACGATTCGTCATTCACCAGCGTACGGACGAGTCGTCATTCACCAGCGTACGGACGATTAATCTCCCATTAATGTACCGACGATTCGTCATTCACCAGCGTACGGACGAGTCACCGTCTACTGATATAACATGTATGGACGAGTCCCCATCCACCAAGGTATGGACAAGTCACCATCCACCAAGGTATGGACAAGTCACCATCCACCAAGGTATGGACGAGTCCCCATCCACCAAGGTACAGACAAGTCCCCATCCACCAAGGTATAGACAAGTCACCATCCACCAAGGTATGGACAAGTCCCCATCCACCAAGGTATGGACAAGTCACCATCCACCAAGGTACAGACAAGTCCCCATCCACCAAGGTATGGACAAGTCCCCATCCACCAAGGTATAGACAAGTCCCCATCCACCAAGGTAAGGACGAGTGACAAATCAACCATGACTGTAGATTTCCGATACTTTCTGTTTTAAGGGTTTGGTTTTTATATTTCAAAGTTTAAAGTTCGTTTTTGATTGAATATTAGATATTATTATTATAATTTTGATTTCAATCAATCGTAATATGACATTTCACTACTCGACTTTTAAAGGCCATTTACTAGCTGAAGTTAGATATTTCCTGTCAGCTCCATGCTAATGCCTTATTTAGTCATAACGACAAATTCAATGTCATTTGGAGGTTAAATATTTGTAGCCCAAGGAAAACATGATATGCTCTTTCCTGTGGGTATGGAGTCTGTTCTCGCAATCTTCCGAATGTAAGAGATAGCTTTCAAATGTTTGCCTTTTGCTATTTACATGATTATGAATAGGCGAAGACTTATTCTTAAAAAAATGTGTGACAAAGAGCTATCCCGAGCACTGCGAAGAGACAAACTACTTATTTCAAATTTAATTTGTTCGACACCGAAAATCCAAAAATATCTTCAGAATATTTATCATAGGACTGTTAACTAAATACTTTATTTATTTATTTACCTATTTTAAACTGTCAGATGTCCATAAAAGGTACTGCGTATGACTGCCCTACGATCTAGAATAGTGTTACACACAGTATCCTTCAAAGTGATCATTTTTCTCCAATAATTCAATGTGTTGTTTATAACTTTATCCAGAATTCTGGGACCCTAGAGTTTAAAAACTGCCTTTGTTAAGAATTTTATTTATTTGAAAAGATCTCTTCTAGAAACATTGAAAGTTAACACCGTTATTTAAGATTAGTAAAAAATTAAAATAAAAAAGAAATTCTGTGAAAGTGGAAACATTTATACTTTCGTTAAGGAAATTCATTCCAATTATAATATAATAAGTTGTAGCGAAAGACATTATCAAATTACGTGATGTGTAATATCGATAGTTTTGCTTTTATATATTACTGACTGTTACTTTTATCAATTACAAAGTATGATTAATTCAGTTTTAAGAGAATGCAGTCTAAGCAATTCAGCTATTCATGGCTATAACATTTTTCAGAATCCACTACTCGGAAATTTTTATATTGCATATTTTTCACTAAGATAAAGAGTTTTCAGAAAAAAACATACTATAACTTTCAATTTTTATCACCTTGAAATTATAAATCTTTGAAAGCATTTAAACCATTTCTATTGGTTTAAAATCCATCATATGATTTATGTGTTCTGATAAATTCGTCTTATTTTAAAAGCGTATTTGATCATGTTAATTTCATACGCTGATTTCCTCGACGAAGCCAAATGCTAGATATCGTAGTGAAAAATGAAAAAAACTCCTAAAGTTACCCGCTCCTTTGCGGTGCTATATCAATGACATTATGATATCACTTAAATCTATTCTAGAGTTTAACAAAATATAATCCTGAAAATAATCGGTTTAAAGACTTACCCGAAACGGCTATTGCCACGAGGACAAGTACACCGAAGATCAACTTCATGTCCATGGTTCTCGTTTGCTAAAGTCCGTTACCGAGAGACAAGTTCAGCCGAAAGTTTGGGGAGAAAAGTTTTCTGATTAAGCCCCGGTCGGACTCAGCTTTATATAGTCCCGGGCATTTCCCATTTTGTTGCATCACGATACTTCAATCAAGTCATCCGACGAACAATTAGGCACTCCGTAATGTAAATCGGCACGATCTAAATTTGCATACAATTACAATCACAGCATAGTGTCTGTGTAAATCTAAGGTAGGCCAATGTAAGATAGGTATAAGTTTCGGGTCAACAGACCGCAGCCTGCCACATTTCCGGAAAAGATTAAATTAGCTTAGCTAATGACACAATCCGAAAGAACGCATACACGTACTGTTTTATAATTAACACGAGTATTAATATTTCTTAATGACACTCTACTATGCTAATTTAGTCTTTAAACATGCATTATTTAAATTACTAATCACGTTTCGTGATTAATTAAAAAAATAATTCGGACTATATCCCCAATTGCAAATCAGGACTGACCTTGAACGTATCATTTGAAGACGACTTTGTTTCAATGTCGTTTTAAATAATGTTTGTTGAACTGAAGACATTCGGAGATGGAAGGAAACCTTGGAAAATAACTATTTCAACGTGGGTTTGTTTTGTTTGCTTATTTATTTGTTTTTGTTTGTTTGTTATCTGGGATTATCGCCTCGTGAATAACTAGATTCATTTTAAGGCAGAATCTCAATGTAGTAAATGATGGTTATCTCACTGAGCAACATGCGGAAGGCACGTCGCATACCGTCTCGTGCAATTAGTGCAGAGTGTCTTGTCCATCGACTAGACCACGTCAGCAAAGACTGATCTGTTTTTCAGCTACATGTGAAGCTGGAACCACCACAGGTTAGGGATCGTTGAATCTCAACACCTTCGACAGAGGTTATGTATTCAACACTCTAACGACTGAAATATCGAGGACCCCAATGAGGAGTAAAATACACATATAACGATATAAGGCGTACCATTAACTATGGAACTAGGGGAGAGTACGGAGAAGCCTGAATTCTAATCTACCATCTAAGATTGATATCAATTTGGATTGTGTGTCGTTTTATCTGTCTTACTTTCTAAAATCGACAGCGTCACCAGTTTGACAACACGGAAGAGCTATGCTGTACAAATTCAAAACTGATGTCGCTTTTGTGGTTTTTTTTTTATCTCATATCATGAGTATGTTGAGTTATCTCAGTTGGTTTTGTAATATCTCTACATACGGAGGTCTAAGTCAAACCTACAGAAATGGACATTTCGGAGTGAGTAGTTCCAAAATTCGGAAAAATTAATGCTTTGAGCAAATTTTCCCTGATACTGACAGTGATCAAACCAGAACCGTAAGTCATGTACGTTCATATGCAAATAGGTGTGACACATGAATAATTTCATAAGTAATAGACAAACTAAATGAAATATGTCTGGAAAATGCAAAGTTGAGATTTTTTAAGTTTTTTAAAGTTTATTTTAGTTACCAAGGTCGAAACATGTATGGAGTATCTCCTGTATCTTGGTAAGTCTTGGTAGAATGGAAATGTCGATGTTTGACACGGAAAGATAGTAAAAGAAGATTTTATTAAACAGATATAAGATAATTTTATCAGTGTGAACAATATAAAGGATCATCATGAAACACAGAGATCACCATCATTGCTATTGTCAAGGTTACGGTGATAGGTGAGAATGTTAGATCACCTTTCTGGCTAACATTCGTAAAACTGTGTACTTTTATTTTTTTATGTGCATTTTAACCCTGTTTCGTTAAGTGTTATGAAATATGGCTATCATGTGCTGCCACCTACCCTTTCTTTCTAGCTTCACATTTTGACATTTAAAACGTAGATGAGCAAAGGTAGACACATAAACATCTTTGTTTACAATACTCGTACACCATTCACCTTAAAATAGTTACCTTTTGCACAAAATTGTAAAAGGAACAAATCCACAGCATCAGCATTACGAAAAAAGGTGTTGAATTCAGATTTGATTTAATTCAAAAACAAATTTATGAACAGTTTTCTCTCTATTTATGTTACTCGTGTCTTCGACGACAGGGTTTGTATATCCGCTGTCAGAGATTTTCATCTGTTGATGTCGATGCTTCGCCTCAGCGCAGAAGACAGGGTTAACTAATTTCCGAACCAAAATTATATCCGGAACTTTGAGGAATGTACTTATTCTTATCCTCAATGCAGAGAGCTAGGGGTATGTTTATGAGAATACAATAAGTAATTAAAAGATTTTTATGGAAATTTAACATAAGCCAATTTGAATGATATTTTATAAATCTTTAATCGACTGTGAAGGGACACCTACAATCATTCGCTAGCACGCGAGCACACACAACTATAAACATATATAAATACAAGGACAATACAATGGATTTTCCTAAGTCTCCTTTAAGACTTCAACAGTTTAGGCACCAAACATCACTGACAAGTCCCAGAAGGACGAAACAGCTGTATGATGTAACATCACTGACAAGTCCTAGAAGGACGAAATAGCCGTATGATGTAACACAAGTGACGAGTCCTAGAAGGCCGAAACAGCCGTATGATGTAACACCACTGACGAGTCCTAGAAGGACGAAATAGCTGTATGATGGAACACCAGTGACGAGTCCTAGAAGGACGAAATAGCCGTATGATGTAACACCAGTGACGAGTCCTAGAAGGTCGAAATAGCCGTATGATGTAACACCAGTGACGAGTCCTAGAAGGACGAAACAGCTGTATGATGTAACATCACTGACGAGTCCTAGAAGGTCGAAACAGCTGTATGATGTAGCATCACTGACGAGTCCTAGAAGGACGAAACAGCTGTATGATGTAGCATCACTGACGAGTCCTAGAAGGACGAAACAGCTGTATGATGTAGCATTACTGATGAGTCCTAGAAGGACGAAACAGCTGTATGATGTAGTACAAGTCATTATTTGGCTCTACTGTATGTTAACTTATATCAAAAGGCGCTATTCACTGTGTGTTTTGTAGCATGTGATGTAAAATTGTGCACTTGATAGCTGGTTTTTAGATCGATTTATCAAATGAACATTAGACAAATAAAAAAACAAATCTCAACTGTTATTTAGTTGTGTAAATAAATAATTTACTAATAGGAAAGAAATACCCGAAATTCAGTTATAATACGATGCAAGGAATCGTAAACTATTGAAATAACAAAGCGAGACAGTTCAAGGACGAATGACAATTTAAACAGCCCATTTTTCATCACTGTGCTCATTAAATATAACTGTCCATGTCAATCTATTTCTAAATATTTTTTTATTGGATTTCGCGTAACGAGAGTTCACATCGGTCTTTTAAACCCGGAACTTCATGAATCGGTATTGGGTAATAAGTCAAATCTGTTATATCATAACTATAAATCGTGGGATGACGTCATTTCATAATATCTTACCTGTGTCATAGGTTTTATAAATCACGTGATGTATTGGTAAGTAATTCTGTACGTTAACTATAACATATTTTGTACCTATCGTATATTTCTGCCTAAAATTCTGAATAGGATACTGTCAAATTATCAATTTTCGTGGGTTTTCAATTTCTGTTGATTTTATCGGTTCCCTTAATCCACAAATTCATATGTCCCTGAGCAGTTAAAACTAGCTTAAGTAGACTCATTGAGTTGTAATTAATCAAGTGTCCACGAAATAGCATTTATCTTTATTTTTTAAAACCGCGAAAATTGAATCCCGCGAAAACAAATATTTTTAAATGCTATGTCAGAGTATAATGCCTTACGTTTGAACGAGTAACGGAGACGTTTGTCGGCGGTTATGACGTTTAACGATACCATAATTAAACCTGATGTTACGTTCATCATTGATACCGTGACATGGACAATCATATCATAAAATCGAGAGGAGTTAATTCTATACCAGGAAGATTAGCCAGTAACAGTGTAAAATCAACATTCACACCAAGGATAAGAATTTAAGTAGGGCATGTGTTGTACGGCCCAAATATATGTATAACCTTATCATTCACCTCGATCTGTGCTGATGTCTCCCGTGTTACGTAAACACTTCCTAAGATTTCAGAGAAAATTACCTCAACTTTTTCTTTGAATTCTTTGACAAGTTTTGTAATTTTTCTATGATATACTTGCCGTTCTTACATATTTCTTCAACGGACGAGGAATAAACACATTTGTATGGTTATGGAATAAATAATGGCCATTTTGTCTTGCTTTGTCACTTGGCAAGCCGTAATCTAACCTATTATGCTTACATATGTCGTTATATAAACCATTGATGTTGGATTATGTAGTTTACAACTTCAATCGATCACTTTGTTCAAATGGTAAATCATATTTTCCTTTTTTTGTTGCCTTGGTGACGAGCGATGTCACTTGTCTGGAACATCATGAGTATCGCTGTTATATCAAACTCCGTGCAGTTAGAGGCAACAAGTTGAGGTGTACCACGTACAGATTGTAAGTTGTTCCATTGTACAAGGCTGGACGTCTTCATGTGTCTCTTTACTGTGTGCTCTATCTTTCTGTATCTTATTTACCCACTCTTTGTGTCTCTTCTGACTGTGGTCTGTCGTCATATCAACCTTAGATACTGCAAAGGAAAAATACATGTATGCCCCAAATATAATCATGACACACTGTCTTGTCGTGCCTGTCTCAAGTTCAGTTACTTTTAACTGGAAATAATAAAACACAATACTCTAATATGTTATAATAGAGATTCTGCAAACATGTTTTGGGTTGATTATCACCAAGGTGATGTGTAAATAAAATCATTACTGTGTTCTGTTTCATAAGTAAATGCCTGGAAAACAATTAAATCTAAGAACATCGCATGTTTGTCTCATGAAAAACAAATATATTATTTGTGTTACCCTTTACTTGATTTGCTTGAATATGTATTAGGGCACGAGACTTTTTTTATGGTGGTGTTGAGCATGGCCGCTATCTTAAAGTATATAAGGTCAGA